GCCTACTTTTACTGGGAAAAAATTTCCCTCTTTCCTACATACTCTAACTTGAGCCTCACTATCCTCGTAAAAAACTCTTCACTGCTTTCAGTAAACCTACCTCCTACACCTTACACTTGCAACATCTGCCACATTGCCCCCTATCCACCTGTCATACGCCTTTTCCAAATCCATAAATGCCACAAAGACCTCTTTAGCTTATCTAAATACTGTTCACTTATATGTTTCACTGTAAACACCTGGTCCACACACCCCTACCTTTCTAAAGCCTCCTTGTTCATCTGCTATCTATTCTCCGTCTTACTCTTAATTCTTTCAATTATAACTCTACCATACACTTTACCAGGTACACTCAACAGACTTATCCCCTATAATTTTTGCACTTCTTTTATCCCCTTTGCCTTTATACAAAGGAACTTGCATGCTTTGCCATCCTAGTACCTTTCCCTTTCCATACATTTATTAAATAATTGCACCAACCACTCCAAAACTATATCCCCACCTGCTTTTAACATTTCTATCTTTATCCCAAATTATAATATTATATATAAATAAATAAATATATATATATATATATATATATATATATATATATATATGTATATATAATATGTATATATATATGTATATAATATTATTAGTATGTATATATATATGTATGTATATATATATATGTATATATATATATATATAATATATATATATGATATATAATATATGTATATATATATATATGTATATATATATATTATATATATATATTATATATATATATGTATATATATATATGTATATATATATATGTATATATATATATATATATATTATATATATATATGTATATATATAAAATATATATATATATATATATATATATATATATATATATATAAATATATATATATATAAATATATATATATATATATAATATATATATATATATATATACAGTGGATCCTCTACTTGCGAGTTTAATCGTTCCATGACCTTGCTCGCAACTGCATTTTCTCTTTTGCAGAATCAATTTTCCTCATTTAAATTAACTGAAATGCAATTAATCCGTTCCAGTGGAATTCTGTACTTCAATAATTTTGCTAATATCAGCTCTATGGCTTATTTATCTATCTCACTTCATCTAATATGACATAATAAACAATATAAATAACATAGAAACCTGATATATACTCTAAAATGAATAAAATATGTCATTCATGTAGTGGTGTGGGCGGTGTCAGCGGTGGACGAGTTTGTCTGGAGACCGGGCAAAATACTTATGAATAATTTTGCTAATATCATCTATACGGCTTATTTATATATCACAGTTCATCTAGTATGACATAACAAACAATATGAATAACATAGAAACAAGATATATACTCTAGAATGAATAAAATATGTCATTCATGTAGTGGAATGGGTGGTGTCGGCGATGGACGAGGAAACCGGGCAAAATTCTTCATGAATAATTTTGCTAATATCTATACTGCTTATTTATCTATCACAGTTCATCTAGTATGACATAACAAACAATATGAATAACATAGAAACATGATATATACTCTAGAATGAATAAAATATGTCATTCATGTAGTGGTATGGGCGGTGTCAGCGGTGGACGAGTTTGTCTGGAGACCGGGCAAAATTCTTCATGAATAATTTCGCTAATATCATCTATACCGCTTATTTATATATCACAGTTCATCTAATATGACATAACAGACAATATAAATAACATAGAAACACGATATATACTCTAGAATGAATAAAATATGTCATTATGTAAGAGGTGGAGGCGGCCACAACCGCTCCCTCTTTGTTGCGGTAAGCACTGCCATATAGTGACGGCCTTTTGAAGCCGTCTATTATTATAATTATTATATGTAGTACATTATATATGTATTATTGTACATATTATTATTATTGTATTATACTATTATTATTATTATTATCGTTACTATTATTATATAAATTATTTGTAATTTTTATTCACACAAAAAGTTAAAAAGATTTACTGTTATTTCCTTATTGGAATGGACAGTGACATCATTTGTTTACACTGAAACAGCCAAGCAATGGACCATTTCTCCTAGGTTGAGCTGAATTTCAAGGCACTTTTCGTCATGAAAGCAATCAAAATCATATCTATTTCTGTAATATATCTTCCATTCTATCAAATGAGACCAAAAAAAAACGAGAATACAACCATAAAAACCATTCGAAATTACCACTAAGGGGTGGCTAATTGCTGAGAAGTGAACTCCATTATTTATGCTTAGATTTCTTTCAGTTTTGGTGTACATTAAGAAGCATCTTTCCATCATACATTGCCCAAGTTTCAATAAGATAGTCCAACAAACAAATGAGATACAATTCCCGAGATCAAGAGCAAGAGACCCTCACCAGTGTCAAGGAACCTGCTTTGAGGTCTGCTCGCTTGTGGAAATTTTATGAATGTACATTACTGTATATATGTAGATACTATACAGTGGAACCTCTACTTGCGAGCGTGTCCACGTGTGAGTTTTTCCAAATACGAGCAGTCGATGCATCGATTTTTTGCTTCCATACGCGAGCAAAATTTCCACACGCGAGCAGACCTCAAGGTAGGTTCCTTGACACTGGTGAGGGGCTCTTGATCTCGGGAATTGTATCTCATTTGTTTGTTGGACTATCTTATTGAAACTTGGGCAATGTATGATGGAAAGATGCTTCTTTATGTACACCAAAAATGAAAGAAATCTAAGCATAAATAATGGAGTTCACTTCTCAGCAATTAGCCACCCCTTAGTGGTATTTTCGTATGGTTTTTATGGTTGTATTCTCGTTTTTTTTTTGGTCTCATTTAATAGAATGGAAGATATTTTACAGAAATAGATATGATTTTGATTGATTTGATGACGAAAAGTGCCTTGAAATTGAGCTCAACCTAGGAGAAATGGTCCATTGCTTGGCTGTTTCAGTGTAAACAAATGTATTCCAATATGCAGTTGTGAATGGGTTGACATATTTATACAATTATTGCAATAAGGAATAACAGTAAATCTTATATTTTTTGTGCGAATAAAAATTACAAATAATTTATATAATAATAATAATAATAATGATAATAATAATAATACATGTAATATGTATAATAATATGTATAATAATAATATGAATAATAACAACACGTATAATAATAATATAATAATAATAATAATATAATATGTATAATAATAATACATATATAATAATAATGTACTACATATAATAATTATAATAATAGATGGCTTCAAAAGGCCGTCACTAGATGGCAGTGTTTACCACAACAAAGAGGGAGCGGTTGTGGCCGACTCCACCTGTTACATAATGACATATTTTATTCATTCTAGAGTATATATCGTGTTTCTATGTTATTTATATGTCTGTTATGTCATATTAAATGAACTGTGATATATAAATAAGCCGTATAGATGATATTAGCGAAATTATTCATGAAAAATTTTGCCCGGTCTCCAGACAAACTCGTCCACCGCCGACACCGCCCATACCACTACATGAATGACAAATTTTATTCATTCTAGAGTATATATCATGTTTCTATGTTATTCATATTGTTTGTTATGTCATACTAGATGAACTGTGATAGATAAATAAGCAGTATAGATGATATTTGTGAAATTATTCATGAATTTTGCCCGGTCTCCAGACACTCTCTCGTCCACTGCTGACACCGCCCATACCACTACATGAATGACATATTTTATTCATTTTAGAGTATATATCAGGTTTCTATGTTATTTATATTGTTTATTATGTCATATTAGATGAAGTGAGATAGATAAATAAGCCGTAGAGTTGATATTAGCGAAATTATTGAAGTACAGAATTCCACTGTAACGGATAAATGGCATTCCAATTAATTTAAATGAAGAAAATTGACTCTGCGAACGAGCAAAGGTCATGACCTTTAATCCGTTCCATGACCTTGCTCGCAAGGTCATGGAACGGATTAAACTCGCAAGTAGAGGTTCCACTGTATATGTATGTATGGAGGTAAAGAAAGGAATGTGTTAGAGTATAGTGGTACCAACACACTTATATGAGTATGAAGCATGGGTTGTAAATGCTGCAGCAAGGAGGAGGCTGGAGGCAGTGGAGATGTTGTGTCTAAGGGCAATGTGTTGTGTAAATATTATGCAGAGAATTTATAGTGTAGAAATTAGGAGGAGCTGTGGAGTTAGTAAAAGTATTATTCAGAGGGCTGAAAAGGGGTTATTGAGATGGTTTGGTCATTTAGAAAGGATGGAGCAAGATAGGATGGCTTAGAGGGTGTATAAATCTATAGCAGAGGAGAGAAGGGGTAGGGGTCATCCTAGGTAAGGATGGAGGGAGGGGGTAAAAGAGGATTTGTGTGCAAGGGGCTTGGACATGCAGCATGCATGTGTGAGCATGTTAGATAGGAGTGAATGGAGGTGAATGGTTTTTGGGCTCTGACAACCTGCTGGAGTGTGAGCAGGGTAATATTTTGTGAAGGGATTCAGGGAAACTGGTTAGCCAGACTTGAGCCCTGGAGGTGGGAAATACAGTGCCTTCACTTTAAAAAGGAGGGGTTTGGGATATTGACTGTTTGGAGTGACATCTAAACTGTCGTATCTGAGCGCCTCTGCAAAGACAGTGATTATGTGTGAATAATGGTGAAAGTGTTGAATGATGGTGAAAGTGTTTTTCTTTTTTGGGTTACTCTGCCTTGGTGGGATATGGCTGAAGTATTGATATAAAAAAATGCATTCATGTAGATACTGTAAATATATATATGTATATACTGGTAATGATGTCAACACTTACGGAAAGGCAGATTGAATGAATGATGGTGAATATAGTTTTCTTTGGGTAACTGTCTTAGCAGGAGATGGTTGTTGAGGTAAAAAAATATACATAAATATATGCATGTATGTGCAGAATTTGATAATGGTGAAAACTGATGTAACTAGAACAGGTGTTAATTTCATTGTTTCAGGTACAAATGCCCAGATCCCAACAATAGATATTGTGGAGCTGAACACAACTATCAACCACTTATATTGTCTGAACTCCTCTGACACTTATCAAGACTGCTTTGCCAACACAGCCAAAAACTATACCTATAGCCTGCCCATTTCAAGATTCATGCGACACACCAACCTTACATTGCACTTCAGGTAAATGTTTCATGATGCATAATATTATGTATGTCATTACAGTCTTTTCTGTTAGCTCTGCAACATTTAGTTATTATTATTACAGCTTCTCCTTATTTAGTGACATAATCGTTTACTGACCACTCAGACTTACGACCAGCTCTCCAACCAGTATGCAAACCTAAATAACATATATTAGAGCTGATTTCCTCTATCCTGTTTATTACACTATACAGTACACTCTTGTATAAACATTTAAAAAATGATCAATTCACTTACTGACCTACTCTTAGGAACGGAACCCTGTCGTTAAGTATCCCCCCATATCTGTGGGGGATACGTTCTAAGGACCTGTGATGTATACTGAAACTGCAGTGTACATTACTTCCTTTTTTTTTTTTTAAAAACATCAGCCGTTTCCCACCAAGGCAGGGTGACCCAAAAAGAAAGAAAAAAAAACTTTCATCATTCAACACTTTCACCATCACTCATACATAATCACTGTCTTTGCAGAGGCACTCAGATATGACAGTTTAGATGTCTCTCCAAACTGCCAATATCATACCTGTTATAAAGTTTAATTGATAAGTTACGCACAATAAGTCGAGAATTATCACTTTTTCACTGGTGGGAAGCACTTCTCATGACTTCTCTTAGGCTTTGAAAAACTGCCACTATCACTACTATTGCACTACGGTGCCATTATTAAGCAAAATTAAGGCTTGTTTTTGGGCCATGGTAAACCACAGATATGAGGTCCTACTGTATTACTAATTATTATTATTAACCATTTGACTGTTTCAGTACATCTTACAAGCCACCGTGTTTGACGTATATATACTCAAAAATTCTAGCGGCTTCAAATCAAGCAGGAGAAAGCTGGTAGGCCCACATGTGAGAGAATGGGTCTGTGTGGTCAGTGTGCACCATATAAAAAAATCCTGCAGCAATCAGTGCATAATGAGAAAATAACGCCAACTGTGTTTTTTGGATTAAAACATCGACTTTGCTGTGTATTTTTGTATAGTATTTATGGTTGTATTTACGGTTCCCCACCTCTCACACTGAACCCCAATGGCTCTAACCCTGCCTATCTAACCTTTCCTGTGTACCCCACCTTTATAACGCTCATACAGTTGTAGTGAGTGGGACAACTGAACATATCTCTGTTAGCAGAGATATGTATGTGGCATCTTTGACTGACACATGAACACATTGGCCTAGTTATATTTTTTTTTTCAACAAGTTGGCCGTCTCCCACCGAGGCAGGGTGACCCAAAAAAGAAAGAAAATCCCCAAAAAGAAAATGCTTTCATCATCATTCAACACTTTCGCCACACTCACACATAATCACTGTTTTTGCAGAGGTGCTCAGAATACAACAGTTTAGAAGCATATACGTATAAAGATACACAACATGTCCCTCCAAACTGCCAATATCCCAAACCCCTCCTTTAAAGTGCAGGCATTGTACTTCCCATTTCCAGGACTCAAGTCCGACTATATGAAAATAACCGGTTTCCCTGAATCCCTTCACTAAATATTACCCTGCTCACACTCCAACAGATCGTCAGGTCCCAAGTACCATTCGTCTCCATTCACTCCTATCTAACACGCTCACGCACGCTTGCTGGAAGTCCAAGCCCCTTGCCCACAAAACCTCCTTTACCCCCTCTCTCCAACCCTTTCGAGGACGACCCCTACCTCGCCTTCCTTCCCCTATAGATTTATATATTATATATATTATTTTTTATGCAATTTTGAGTTCTATACAAAATTTGATTGGCTTTTTTGAGGGCTAATTGAATGTAACCCTATTTTTCCCATATGTTCTTCATTTCAGTTTACACACATTTTTGATTACATCATTTTCAAGACCTTAAACTACTGTGTTATCTGTCAAAAGTAGTCTAGTATACATGAACTATTCTGACTGTTACAGATGCATAACTTATTTAAATTTCTAAACAGATGAGGTGTATAAAGAAATTTGTCTGTTACAGATTCATGGCAGATAATTTTGACAGGCAGCCCTCCTTCTGTGCCAACTGCAGCGACAGCATTCCCTCGTTTCCATTTGAGCAGTGTTCTGATACTGGCACTGTTCTTTCCCCTTATGATGTGGTGGAGAGTCATGGTCCCCGTGACCATTATGTTACACTTCTTAATGTTGGAATGTGGCATCAGGTTGCCTACAAGTTCCGTATACCAGTTGTTGAGGGGGCCGAGGTTAGTTTTTTTTTTTTTTTTTTAATTTTTAGCATTGCCTCTTAACATTTGTCTATAAAAAAAACAAAAAGGCACAATAGCATGACTGGAACAATACACAGATAACCCGGACATAGGAGAGAGGAACTTACGATGACGTTTCGGTCCAACTTGGACCATTTACTAAGTCACACTGTGTGGGTTATTTGTGTATTACTTCCATCTTTTCCATTACTTCTTTAGTGTGCCTTAACACTGTTGCATATGTTTCCTTACACCTGTTGAGCCTGTTCACCTAGCAGTAACTAGGTACTGAGTGATGGCTAACTGTTGTTGCTTGTCTTCCTGCAGGGGGTAGTACTATACTCTAGATAGGGTTGAGCTTTGAAAGGAGCTGAGGTAGGATAGCAGCTTTTTGACTTGAAATTCAAAAGTGTAAAAAAACATCTATTGCAAGTGATATAGTGCTGGAAACATTGTGGTAGACCATCAAGTGTGTGTGTAGCCAGAGTGGCACTTGAATGTGTGTACCTTACATAGCACTTCATTGTGAATAGCCAAAAGCAAGTGTTCATTGATGTTTCTCTTAAAAACACAGCTTTCAAAAAATTATCTTTTCAGTTATTTGCACACTAAAATTTTTCTAATTATTTCATGTATAAAATCTTTTATCTGAATACCTATACAGAGTAATTCTGTTGATTAATATATCTTTCATTTTAATGCTGATATGATTATACATGTACATTATTTGTGCCAAGAACCTTGGCTATAAAGATTAATATAAAATTTGTATATTTCAGGATCCCTGCAGCTTCACACCAGAGTATGTTGGAGAAAAATATTATGAATTAAACTTTATATTTCATAGAGTCTGTACTGAATAAAGCAAACAAATTTATGATTATCACATATTCTAAATTTATTTTAAGCATCAATCATTCATGTTTATTCATAAATACCCAAACCATTTTCATTTCCATGACAATGTATTATGGCCATACATCACAGTTATAGAAGTATTTTTTCCATTTTACATCTGTAGTTTGTTTTTGTGAACATTTCCAGTTTCTTCTAAGCAAATCTTGAGTACCTCATTTAGCGAGTTTCATTTTGCATATGTGAAAATTAAACCTAATGTTTAAATGTAGCTCAAATTAATAATCTGTAGTGGGCAATTAATTGTAAGATGTGGCCTGTTGCAAATACAGACATATCACAGATCTGATTAGGCATAGATTA